GTAAATCGTTGTCAAAGGCAATTCTCAACGCTCTCAAATTATGAAGACATTTTAATACGTATTTTAATTTCAGAGAAAAGAAGGTAAATACTACTGAAATATGGGGAGAGATGGGGAAATTATGGTTTGATTATGTATTTCTTAGGCATCAAAAGCATACCCCTTAGCTACATCAGATCCAGTCCTTAATTCAATCTGATATATAGTCTTTCTTTTGTCCATGCCCACTGACACATGTGGCATAAACCACATAAGAATATTTCATTGTTGTCTCGATTTATTGTTAAACAGAAAAACTTACAGGACTCCCAAAATTGATAAACATCTAAAAAAAGAACTGTCTTGCATAATATTCTACACTGAAAGAGATTAAGTGAATCTGATTGCATCAAGATTAGTTTGTGTTTAATTAACAAAGAGAAAAGGATTCTAGCCCATGGGCTACTCTATGTCAAACAATACTCTAGTATCCTAAATTTTACTTCTGCTTCCTTCTTTTTGTCTCACTGCCTCAGCTCCTGATGGTCATACTGGAAAATAATTCGAAGATAGAATAGAAACAAATCACTAAATTAATTTGATGTTTTATTTTTTAGATATTTTATCTCACTTAAGTGAGCAGTAATGGCCTCCCATTGGCTAAATATCATCCTGTCTCCCACTCCTTTTCCTTGTCTGGTTTTCCTTGCCTTGTCTGTCCCATCTAGAGGCTGCTGTCATAATGCAGGTAAGGCAAAAGACTGGGGAGTTTGGTGGGACAGTGTATTTGAACTCAACATAAGGGCAATGGCACAGACTGAGAAGTATTTAAGATTTCTGGACTGATTTATGACAAGAGAAAAAATATAATAGGGTGGGGACCTGAGCAGTTACGACCTGTCTGCACTGCCTGAGACCATCTAGAATACAAGTGGAGAAATTGTAGTATTTATCTTGAGTAGCCTGAACAGTATTTTAGAAATTGTAGTATTTATCTTGAATAGCCTGATAAAATCACAGGAGTGGAAGTTCTCCACTGAAAATACAACCTAAATTTTTACCTTCTCTGATAATAAAATTAGATGATATTTAAAAAGGATATGCACACCTTTACTGTAGGCCAAGATATGTTCTGTTAATGAAACTGTTGAGGAGAACTGCTCTGAATGTAAATTCAAGGTCCTTATGTAGATGTAACCGAAAATTATTATTTAATCATGTCTCGTACAGGCAAAGCTTGTGGAATATTCATTTAAGTCCTCTGTACATAGAATTTGACTCCGGTTATTGGTTTCAGTCCAATTTACTCTGTGAACAATTTACATCAATATAAAAATGTGTTGTAGTAGTGTAGGTCATTTTTGTAGTTAATTTTTATCCATAAAAAGAATATAAATATTTCTAAGTATATAAGACTATCTTATCTAAAGATGTCTAAAAGCCATGCTGTTCCTAAAGTTTATTTAAGCTTGTTAAATGTTTACAGATTCTACAAAACCTTTAACCAAGCATGAATTCAGTTCAGAAACTTAACTGTCGGGTTGAAGTTAGGAACACTGTCACTCTGAAATCAAGACAGACACTTGCAAAGAACAGTTAATTCCAAATCTGTATTTCCCAAGGGAAATTACAACCTTAATTGAGACACCTCAGGTGCCTTACATGATTTGCATTCAGATTTCACTCCACTTGCTGTTTGCTTACATGTTATCGGTAGGAACATAACTCACTTCCATGATTGGCCTACACTAATTGAGAATACTTAAAGCTGGATTTAAACTTGTGCTTAAATTACTTTGGGCTTATTAACTTTGTGGTCTTTGCACCACAGAAACACAATCATTCAAGTAAATATGTGTAGTCCTTTGTCTTGCTGTAATTGCAGAAGTGTGCTTGGATGCAGACAGCTTCATTCTCAGTGCACTGGGAACATTTCTCCAGCAGTTTGCTTTGCTGTACCACAGGCAGCCATGGGATACACTCAGACCTCCTACTGATTTACGTAGTAAAGCTCAGTACTAGAGAGGACTCAGAAGAAGGCTTGCCAGCTTTGCCATTTGGAACTAGGCTAGTCTAATTTGGCACTCAAACCTAGGTTCTGATGGCAAGAAATACTTCTGTGGGGATGTAAAGACAAATGTGTGCCTGGTTCAAGCTCTTGTTTTCAGTTATGTATACTTCTACTTACAGGCCTTCTGTGGATAGTCTTTTCTTCTTTTTTTTTTTTTTTTTTTAAACTCCCGTCAACAGGCTGAGTTTATTCATCTTCAGCCTTTTTTTTCTAATTTTATTCTCTAGGAGTCGAACCCTCTGCTGAAGTAAATTTTAAAGTTCTCTAAACACCAGTGAAGTATCTGTAACCGATGAACAGTTCCTTAAAGAAATAACCTCCATTCTAAGTTCTGGGAAACTGAACAATATTGCAGTAGGACAGGCAACCCCAATGTTGCTGTGAGGAAGAACACGACGTGGATGGAGAAGGGGACCATATGGAGGTTTGAACATAGCTGGTTCCAGCATTAATAATTGGTTCCAACACAATTAGTAAATGGCTAATTGGCAGGATTAAGTACTCCGTTAAAATAAGCAACAAGATATATCTGGATCACACTTAGCAGGAAAGGGAAGAAACCAAAGCAGTTCCTAGCAACCCCAGGCTTCATCAAAATGGCATGTTCATGCTAAATCATGTGGCCTTGCTCCAAAATTAAATTTCTCCATTGTGTACAAACCAGATTTGACATGCCAAAAATAAACAATTTAGGGACTGATGCAAATGTTAGGCTTGATACAACTACCTAGCTACATTTAAGACCCTTCCATTTATTTAAAGAGTGGCCTTTCTAGGAGCTAGTATTGGATTTTGCATTCCTAGTAAAGAGCAAAATTTATTTGAATTGCTGTGCAAAAACATACAGTCTGATAGGTTCATCCTTTTGACTGTCATTTTCTATTAGTGCTCAAATCCTCAGCTCCCAAAAATACATATATACACAAGGTGACATAGGATGTTTATTTGCAATATGTATAGGTCAGTAGACTAGTTTAGAGAGCCTGTGGCAGCCAGGTTGTTTTTTTTTTCCTTTTTTTTTGTATGTACTTCGGTCTTACTTCCAGCTGCAGCTTTTTAGATGCTACTGAATTCATAGTTCTTTTACATCTGAGATCGTAACTAGATAACTTTAGGCAGACACCAAGCTTACATAAATCTGTAAAACTACTTACTTAAAAGTATAATAGTTAAATCCTGAGAACTTTTACTCCTAGAAGAGAGGCAAATAAAGTATGTGGATGCAGAGATACCAATTAACTACGGACTTTATTATGACTTTCCAGATTATTGTGCCTATTTATTCATCAATAAATATTAATAAAATAGTTGTCATTTTATTATTTCACTTTTATCTTGTTTGACAGTATTAAAACTGAGCATGCAAATAGCATAATGGTAAAGAGCTCTGCATAAACTCAGAATTCTGGATGTCTTAATATAATTGTAGCTACTATGCTGATAAAAATGATGGTCATATGTATCAGTTAGTCTTGCACAGGCAAATTTATAGAAGTTACTTTCTGAAAATTTGAAACTATTCATAACTAGACCTGAAAGTGGGTTATTTATCATTCTAGTATTCTGTTTGTAAATAGCATTTGGACAAATTAGCTGGCTAGAAAGTACACAGCGGTAGGAGACAGAGAGAAAACACGCATAGAGTATTCAGCCTTCTGATCTGAAATAGAGTTGCCCATTAAAGCCTGTAGGGCTCATACAGCCTAGTCTTTTTATAGGATCTTAAATTTTGATGATACCTTTCCTTTGCTCTTCACCTTCCTTTTCCTAATATTTGAATCATATAAGTTTTAAATTAATATACTGCACTGATGTAAAGATGTTTTCAGGCTGTGTAGGATTTTAGCATATTCATACAGAAATATTGGGCAAGCCCCTCTACTTCCCACCAAAGCTGCCTAAAACCTGGCTTTGATCTTTTCATTATGTGTAATGACTTTTAAAGACATATGGATACTTTAGTCTAAAACAAGCCAGAAGTCGTGCTTTGACTTGTTTTGCCTTTCAGCTTTTCTCTTCCCTAATCAGCTGTTTGACCACTTTTTTTCTTGAACAATTGGAAAGCCGTCAAAAGGCACATATTTCCTGTGTTACAGTTAGGATGGATTCCATGTGAAAGCAGGAAAAGAAAGAACAGCAGTGGTAAATGTTATTTTTTAATGATTTTATTGTCTATGTCTTTATGTGGTTCATGAAGCAATAGAACTTGTGGCAAGCTGTTTGGAATACGGCTCTCTCTATATATGAATTTATTCATGGGAAGACAAAGTAAAGCACGCCTTTTAATATATTAAGGACATACACATTTTGACACTATTAATCTTAGCATTGTTTCTCTAAGCCTGGACTGATGCTTTACAGAATTCTACAAATCCAGCTCTATTTCAGGTTTGAATAACTTGACTGAATTTTTGAACACTTAAAGAGTAGTATATGCCGAGAAATGTATTTTTCTGGAATGGTAATGAATACTTTACAAAGCATATGATAACAGCTGTTGGCATGTTTGCAACTGGTAAATATAAGCAATATATCAAGAGGTGGATTTATTTACTTTGAAATTTATGTATTTTGAATTAAAATGTCACTCATTAAAAATGTGAAATGTATTAGGACCAGATGCAACTAAATATTATAAATGATACAATACCACTTTTTTTTTTTTTTTTTTTTTTTGAGATGGGGTTTATCAGTGGCATTGGAATTGAAGATGAAGAACTTTTTTTTTTTTGGTTGCCATACCATTATACTTACTAGCAATTGCTTATTTTAAGACATGGTAAAGTCCCAAAGAGTGGAAAAAATACTTGAGCCAAGACAACAAATACCACCAAAGTATAGTGATAAGTATTCTCTCTGCATTTTTTTGAGTAATTTTGGCCCCTTTACTCAAATGCTGAGTGCTTCCTAAGCATGCAGAAAAAGAAGTAACAGTTGGGGTTTTTTCCTAGTCTTCTATAGAAGAAATGAAATGACATCCAGCTTTTCTGTTGGCTTTGCTGCTTAGGAGTGCTTAGTATATGTGCACATGCATATAAATAATTCCTTTTCGATGTAATTTTTGCCAAAGTGCCCTCATTTGAGTGACATTTTTGCTCCATTTACATCAGTGTTAAAATTTCCATTAACTTCCCCCGGGCTGGGAAGATTCCACCTGTTTTGTCTAAGTTCACTATAGTTCAGTCTCGTGTATTTAAAAGCATTTATATTTTAATTGCTTCAGTGGAATGCAGTTGTCGTGACCGACAAATCTTGCAGAGGGCAGAAAGGATCATCTGGCAAGGAACAATGCCACATAAGGGCTTATACAACAGAACAGAAATACTAAGCTCCACATTAAGTGAGAAATACCGTGGTAAGGGGCGCTTCAAATTAATCTGCTTTCACAAAATTGTTTTCAAGTAAGATACTGCTGCTCTTACAGAGTTTTTTCCAAGTTTACAGCTTCATTCCTGCATATGCGTTGTCGTAAGCAACACAAGTTTAAAACGTGGGTCTAACGAGATGGAGGCAAATCTGTTAGCACTGCACAGACAGTGAATATGCTGCTTGGCTGGTTTGGATGTTCTAATCGTGACGAAAAAGAAACAAAGACTGAAAATGAGTGTTAGCAATAAAGAAAAAATTTCTACAAAATAAGTCAGTACCGTTTCCACAGATTCTCTCACCTTTTTCCCCTGAATCCTTCCTGCAACTGCAGTTGTAGTAAAAGTTGTTCAGTGGAGCAGTTCCCCCTTGGTGCATGAGATGGAACGTTCTCTGCATGTCTGTGGTAAGTATGGCTTCAAACCTAAATTTCTCTCCTTCCTGCTTCTTGGCGTATTTGCCTTGGTTCTTGGCTGGATCCAGCTCCAATCCTGTCTTCTCTGTCCTTTAGCTAAACTCTGAGATAGCTGGAAAAACATGTTACCGCAAAGATAACGGGGGGTATCATCCATTTGCTTCAGGTGCTTCAGCTCTTCTCACCAGTTTTTCCAGTACTTCCCAGACACAAAGGAAATAAGACAATCTGTAGTCAATGTTTTCTCTGGAGTGCATCAGTAACTGCAGGTGAACAAGAGTACAGGTGTTTAGAATTTTTAAGCTGTTTGTGGTAACGAGAGATGTTTTGCCAGTTGTGGCTTTACTCATTATATTATGAGAGGCAGAGAGAAGCCATTTTTTGGGGGTCATGACAGGGGTTTTTAAAGAGTAAGGTTTTTCCCAAGTTTCATGTCACGAGTCATTCAAACTTTATTTATTAATGTGAACATAAATGCATATGGTGAAGTCCCTAATGTTGACCTCCTCAACTAGTATAAATCACTGTAATTGCTTTGATTTGTGTGAACTGGAATACTCCTGTTTAGTTGAAGATCTGGGCCAGAGTACAGGAAGTGTATGGTTTAGTCAGGGAAGGTTGTAGCACTAATTCTTCTACTTACTACTTTTATGCAGATGTGTTCTTTAAAGTTGACATGGTCCAAATAAGGTATTTCATTTTCTATTTGTAGTGCCAGTATCTTGGCAAGTGAAGCAACACCTTTGGTTTAGGAATTATGTTTCATTATTGCTTTGTAGGAAAAGAAGACCTTATTTGGGTCTGGACCTTCAAGCAACACTAAAATTTTGAGGGACAGAAATATTTCTTTAAAGGATGAACTCATTATATGTGCTGTTATGCAAATAAAATGTTTAGCTAATTCAATATTTACAGTGATTGAAATTAATGAGACCATTTATATTCATGTAACACAGATGAATCCAGGTAATTAGGACATGTAAATTAAGTAAAAAAAAAAAAATTTGTTTAGAATTTGGTAGCTTGAAAGAGCAATGAGAAATGCAGTTCCTTTCAAATCAGAAATGATTATGCCTTTCACTAGGGGCAGAGCTTTTACAAAGGGTCTTTCAACTGAGTATCTCACAACTCTGCTTGAAACACAGAATTAGGGCTCAACACTGAAGCCTTTATCAAGTGAACAGTCTGAAGGGGAAGGAAAGTGCTCTGATGATTTTTCAGCTGTGGGATTGGGCTCTTGCCCCTCACTCTGCGAGGTAAGACAGCTTTACTTTCTATGATTTACAGAGTGAGCAAGCAAGAAGTGTGACTTGCCTAAAGTTACACCACAAGTCTGTGGCAAAGCTGCGGAATAAAACACCCCAGCAGACGTGTATGTAAGCTGCAATTTCATCTTTCTCTTGTGATTCTAAGTTGGGAAGAACAACAACTGTTTTGAAATTCAAACCAGAAAGATAACTATGTCTTTCCATGTGATTTGCTGGTTATCCTGGCTAGCTATCTCAATTGAAATGAGGAAACACTTTCCAAAATCTGGTGGGTGTGTGGGAGGATTTGGGGTATGGGGACTGGGGGTAGAAAAAAGTTTATCCTATGAATTTTCTCACCTGAAGACCAGTTGGCTAAATTCATGTTAAGCTGATAAATTTTCATGTGACCATCTTCAATTTTTTTTCCCATGTCACAATGATTCTTCTGGAAAAAGCTAAAATATGTCTTGGATATGTATAAATGAGGTATGTTTAATTAAAAGTCCTACTCTCTGTCTTCTGTGTTTCTATTTCTAGTCATTCTACTTCTCTCCGTCCTTCTATCTGGTTTACATCTTTAAAATGCAATGCAGAAAACTGCCACAAGCACACTTGGAGAACCTGACAAAAGTGCAGTTTAGCACATTCAGATAAGAGCCAGTGGCAGCGCTCAGTCTCACCATTTCATCACAGAGAGATGATATTACAAGTGCAAGAACATTCAGGTTTGTAAATTATAGATTTTAAAAAGCAAAGTAATTTGTCAGTAATTCGCTGAGCATTGCAGCATCAGTGCCATAAACAGGTGTACTCTCTTGCTTTCTTAAGTGGCTGATTTTTAAATTTATGATCAAGTATATAAAATTAATGGTGTATGCTTACACTTAAAGACTAAAAGCTAGTTTCTTCCAGTGTGCTCATGTACGTAATTGGTTCTTTACAACTAGAAACCAGATACTATTTCATTCATGCATTCATCCCATGGCAGTCTAATTTATGGAACTGTAGTGCACTGTTTTTCTGGGGAGGCGGTGGGAAGAATTAAAAAAAACCATTTCTTACATAGTTACCTGTCTTGGGATATACACATACGATTATGTAGAATCTGTGTCTGGGTGGCTGTTTGTCCTTTCCCGCAGAGTATTCTTGCTCACTGAGTGGGAGGGTCACACTGTATGAGACTAATAAGGACAGAGCTGCATCCCCCCTCTACCACTCCTTGGAGACTTACTCCAGCAACTCCTCAGCACTACAGCAGCTCTGTACAGGCGTTTTCAGTGCTTCCGGGGGACAGAATAATATAAACATTAAAGGTAAGCAAGTCATTATTTGTAGTCAATTCTCTAAACATCATAACATGTGCACACACACACATACTACACTATTCCTGCCTTGTTTTGTGGTGGTTTTGTTCATGGGTTTTTGTTTTCCAAAATAACCATTTAAGTTTATCACTGCTAGTATTAACTATGTCTTATATAAGCATGATGTACACTATAAGTTTTTAATGCACTGCAATCAGCCTATGCTATAGTATGTTTCTCATGACTGCTTAAATATATTGCATATGTTAGTGGATGACTACAGATATGCTAAGATATGCTAATAGAAACAGCTCTATTAAATTAGCAGTAATTTACAAAACTGATTAAAGTGTTGCGAATTGCCACAATGCTGATTGTGCATATATTTACATTTATAAACCTACCTTCGCGTGCCCTTGTGATTAGCCCGCGTACCGGGTGGTCTGCGCGCAGTTAGTCGAACACGCCGGTGAGTGAGCTGCGGCAGCGAGTGCCCTCCGCGGCGGGGCCAGCGCGCCGCGCAGCAGCTGCGGGGCAGAGCCGGCGATGCCGGGGGGCGCGTCCCGCCGGGCTGGCACCAGCGCTGCCGCCCCCGGCCCGCTCCGGCCCCTCACCTGCGGCCCCGAGCAGGTGCCGGCGCGGCCCCGCCGCAGCGCCCGGCGGCACCGGGGCTCCCCCGCCCTCAGGCGCCGCCGGCCCGACCGGGATCCTGGCCCCGCTCCGCCCCGGGCCGCATAGGAAGCGTCGGTGGGCGCTGCCCGTCGCTCGGCTCGGCCGGGCCGGCCGCTCCCGGCGCCGCAGGAGGGTCCGGGGAGACGGGGCGGGCGCGGCGGGGGAGGCGGCAGCGGGGCCGGGGGCGCGGAGCCGAGAGCGGGCTCCGGCAGCGGGCGGGGGCGCTGCTCGGGCTCCTCGCCCAGCCCCGCCGCCCGAGCTGCCCGCTTGCCTTTCCGCCTGGAGTGTTGGACCTTCCCTCCGGCAAACCCGGCTCTATCCGAGGGAAATGAAGCCGCCGGCACTGCCGAGTTAAAATCTGACCTGCCGAGGGCTTGGGTCGCTCCGCGGGCTCCGGAGCGCCGGCTGAGTGAGTGAGGGAGCGGAGCCTCCCGGAGCCCCCGGCGGGAGAGGACCCAAGCCCGGAGGTGCGGCGGCAGCGAGGGGGTGGCGATGCTGGTTGTTAGAGCCCTTCAAAAAACGAATCCTCTGAAGCGGCGGCTCTAGTGAATTCCCGATGCCTGCTTGCAAAGCAGGTGCAGGAAATTAAATGATAATGTTATTTGAACATGTATTGGCTTTGCTGCTGGTGGGGAGGCTGAAAAAGTTAATGATGGTGTAGTTGCTGTCAGTGCATGTGACTGAAGAATAGCTCTGATGATGAATAAGGTGCCCTGCGAAAATAATTATAGAAATTGCATCTTAGGTATGTGTTTTGCTTTTCTTACAGAAAATGTGATTAGAATAATATATGCCAATTTTCGTGTGTCATTAAATCTGTGTGTATCTATGCATCGCAGTTGACTTAGAGAAAAAGCTGAACAATAAAGCTATGTTCTTGAAGCCAGACTGTGCATTTGTGAGATTTTAAGTGGAAATTAAATATAGGCTGCTTGTGTATTTTGCAGTGTAAAGAAACAGCGTAATTTGGTTTCTGCTGTGCTTAAACTGAAACAACTGCATGTTGGTCTTCGTTCAGTTTGAAGACTGCTCCAGCAGTAGTAGTCTTCAAAGTCACTGGAAGTGTTGTGACGCCAAATAGTTTAGCTAATACATTGAATAATTTGGGGAGAAGTATAAAATTAGTAATTACTAATTAAATGGAAAATCAGGGCCTTTACAACTAATATCTCCAAGTTAGTATTTCTAAGGTGTTAACTTTGAAGTTCGATAAAGAACTAAAAAGGAGTATATTTGTCATTTATTTTTAAATTGACATAAGACTCTTTTTGTAGCTCCTTAAGCAGATAAATGATACACTTGCATGTTGCTAGCAACTTCCTCTTCACAGTTAAGAAATTTTTGTTTGTAGTTTTCTGATAGAGTGAGGCGAAAAGAATGAGATTGTTCTAAATATGCTTATTTTCTGTTTCAGATTTGTAGCTGATTGTTCATATGTGTCCAGGGGGAGATGAAGTACATGAGATCCTGCATAGTTTGGCTTTGTATGGCAGTCTTCCTCCTCCTTCCTGTTTCTACTTCTGTGGCTCTGAGTGACCAGACAGGTACTTCCACTTTTCTTGCCCTTCACAAACCAAAGGCATAAATCTCAATAGTGAAAAATTTCTAACAGATACAACAACACATGGAAAATAAACATTATGAGGAGATAACATTACGCAAGATAACGTAAATCTTTTTTTGTAGAATGTCCTAAGTTGGAAGCAGTTCCAAAACAGCCCTTCTGCTTCCTGGGCTTGGACGAATCGTGCTTGGAGGCAGTTGTAGATCCCAGGAATTTTTGTTTTCTCCTTTTTTTTTTCTGTGCCATACAAACCAAGATTATAAATCGAAGTTTGCAAAACTTTTGTGAACAAAATCATGTGGCTTTATTAGAGCAGACCAGTTATCACACTGACCTGAACAATGTTTCACAGATATAGACTTAGACAAAACCTTGTGCCTAAGGGGGAAAAGGAATATAATGATATTGTTTCACTTAGAAGCTTTTACCAATCTTCTGCAAATTTTCTCGTAATTCTTTTTCTTCTTTTTCTGTCCATATGTTATCTAGTGTTCTCACTTAAATTCTACAGTAACTCTCCAGGGTGTGGTAAATTCTGTCTTAAAGGCACATCATGTGTGCTTCTCAAATGAGGAATGTCAGTTTTATGGAATTGCTCAGCCTGCACACATACCTCAACTTTGTATAATTTTCTTAATTTACTGGCAAGAAGAACGTGCTTATTGTTATTTAAATTAAGTACTTTTTAAAAAAATCCTAATTTTTATTAATGCTGTTTTTTCCAGAAATCTGATGAAAGATAATAGAAGCTATATGTACACAACAATTTTGAATCTCAATAGCACATTTGAAACTCAGACCCAAGAAATTAAAAAAATCAGTGACTAGGATAATGATCCTTTTACGACTCCTGGAAACTATAAGCAGTAATATTGAATAAATAATAAGTGTAATGTGTGGGCTCTCAGGTAAGAGTAATGCATTGTGAAGAGTCTGAATTTAAGTCAAAGATTTCTTTCCCTTATATTTTTAGAGCAGTGAGACTAAGTGCTCTACTGATGAATTATTCTTAACCCCTGCGAGAGAACAAACCTACATCATAGCTGTAAAATCATTCTATTCAACTGTCTGCAAATAGCAAAATAGGTTGTATTCTCTATCATTGCTAGCTGGTTGGTTGCAGAAGGAAAGTTTTTAAAAGTGCTAAAATGGTGTGAATGCAGAAGGTTCCCTAACAATATAAATGAATAAATGGAAACTTGAAAAATGTTAAAACAAAATACCAGGAAGAATTTTCTCTTTTCTTGTGTATTCTTTTTTTTCCCTAAGGAAAATATGTCTTAGTAAATGTTGGAAATACGTGCCAGATACGCTGAACTGCTAATACACAGTGAATCTGAACTCTGTATTACGCGCTGCTAGAAGTTAGTGACTAGGCAGCCAGCAGCAAAGTTGCAGTTTTCCTTAACCTGATTGTCACAAATGGATCAAATATGGGTCCAATTGAACCACTAGGAAGAAGAAGAGAGATTGAACTTCTCCTATGAATAGCTGATGGTGTGCAGTTGAGAGATGCTTTTGCGGTTTGTGGTGATACAGGCAGATGGTGAGGAATAACAAGTAGATAGCTGCCAGCTTGAGCAGCTCTGCCAACAGCAAGGAGTAGGCTCAGAGTGAAGCCTGAAGTTGATAACGGGAAAGAGACTCTTCTAGAGTCTGTAGGTATGGTTACTGTCCAAAAAAGAAATACAACTTGTAGACCAGGAAGCAGGAGTTGAGAAAGAATGAACCCAGTAATGGAGCAGCAGTAAAACGGGTACAGACCTTTCTGCAAACCTTTTGTTAATCTACCCTGTTCAGCTGAAATGAATATTCTGCGTTGCAAAGTAGTCTTGTTACAGTTTGATAATTTGTATGCAGATGAATCTGTTACAAACTGGAAATATGTTCACTTCAAGAAGAGAGGAATAGCTAACCTCTTTTTTTTTTTTCTTCCTCTTATCTTGCATTAAGTCACTCTTAAATCATTCTTTCTTGGGTCTTTGTTCTCTCCTATTCACCAATTCTATTTGGATCAGCATCTGTCCTTCAGTATCTGCCTAGACAATATTTTTGGTTTTCTTCCTTCAAGAACATATGCATAGCATTTATTTCTCACTGTGCTGATATGAAAGCCTTTCCAGCAAAGTACATTTAGAGAGGATCTGGGATTATTGTATTTACATCCTGAAATTTATCACCTTGATTCTACAGGAATGGTCTTGAAATTCATGAAAAAGTGTGAATTAGAGTTAATTTGAGGGTGATGAGGGAAAGAAGGATGTTAGAGAAAGGATTAACTTGTGTGCATATGTAGAGGAGAGCTTTCTGAGCCGGCATGCCAAATATACTTATTCTTTGGATCAATATTGTAATAAATAACTACCGGTATTGAAAAAAAGATCAGTGTGGCAGAGAATGCTGGATTTTTCTCAGAGCAGTCCTCCTTAGGCTCTGAGTGTCCCAGTAACCGTTAGATTCACAGCAAGGATTTCTTTCAGTTTTTGCCTATCCAGAAGCTTTGCTATGCTGAATGTTCATCAGAAGGAAACACTCACTTCTTGTGACAGAATATGGTAACTCTGAGGGAGAGGGTCCAGGAGTTTTCCACAATCCTATTTTTGATCTGACTTCAAGAATATTTTGTTCATGTTGTCAACATATTGGAAATATTTGGGTCTTGACAGTGGATATGAGCTCTTTCTGTAGTGACACATGAAGTTCTAATTTAATCATTCCAGAATGCTCTATATTAAGAATATTAATATTCTGTCTCATTCCCAGATCATTGCTTCTTTTTCAGCTTTCTTTTACAATTACTGTTTTTAAAGTCACTTACTAACCCATGAAAAATGCAGTATAAGCAAAGTCCTGGGACTGTCAGGCCTGGTGAATTTCCATTGCCTTTTGACATGGAATGTGTTGTGAAAAGTATAGGCTCTAGATCATAATTTTAGATAGGCACTTTAGCCCAAATACAGTGAGCGGTTTCAAGTATGCAAATTGGTTCAGCTTTTTGGTTTTAATGTTTTTAATATGGCTAGATACTTCTCAAAATCAAGATAATGACTCTACATTAACTCTCATATATTCATATTTCTGATATTCCCATCCAACCTGACCTTGAATGTTTCCAGGGATGGGGCATCTACCACCTCTCTGGGCAACCTGTTCTAGTGTTTCACCATCCTTATTTTAAAGTCTAGTTTGAATCTAACCTCTTCTAGTTTAAAACTATTACCCCTTGTTCTGTCACTACAGGCCCTGATAGAAAGCCTGTCCCCATCTTTCTACAGGCCCCATTTGAGTGCTGAAAGGCTGCAGTAAGGTCACTCTGAAGCCTTTTCTTCTCAAGTCTGAATGACCCCAACTCTCTTGGCCTGTCTTCACAGGAGAGGTGCTCCAGCCCTCCAATCATTT